CTAGATAGCCGTGAAACCTATCAAAGTAGTTTATCCTCGAGGACAGTAGCCATTCAAACCCTCCACTACTAAGAGGCTATAGAAACCTCCAAACCCAAACTCAAAATAATGTCACAACTCTTCTAAATCCCAACCACTAAATTCCAAAAGCCATGGACAAAGCAAGCTCTACACCATTAGGCCTAGCTATTTTCTATTAGTAAATAAAATTAGAACCCAAATCACAAATAAAAATTCCATGATCCTCAAACCAATACGAAAATATAAGGAGCACATAAATTAGGTGAAAATAAGTCATCTTGATTAAAACCCAAGTTTGGGAAAAAAACTCGATCCAATGATCAATTCAAACTTACATAAATGCTCAAAGTCCATCATGTTAATTTGAGCCATTATGCTATCCTCCATGATAAATTTAAACAATATGAAATCAATGTGAACCCTAATATAAACTTATTATAAAAACTCCATGGCTATTTCACAAGTACAACTAGTACCAATAATTAGTCTATAATTTTAATAGCCTTAACTTTCTTTTAGGAAACTCTTTCTCCTTAATCCACAGCAAATCATGTCAATCAAAATGACAATATTAAATTTCAAAGCCAATAAAATCTTTAATCAAGTTCTCTTATTACTCCACAATTTTCTATTGATTGTGTATATAAATGTCATTCACAGAAGTTCCAATGTATGATGTATTTTCCTTCTAACCAAAAATAAGAACTAGTTGGCCAATAAATTTAAAAGAGAAAGGTTAAACCATAAAATCTAAGCCTACGAGCATGCCCATTAAAAAGCCCTAATAAAACTATCCAAATAGGCAAAAAACACGAAGGATTGATTATGAAGGGCTATAATGATAACATAAGTCTATAACCACCTAAAAGCTCCAAACTCCAAGAAAACTCTTTTTTTAATATCTTCAAATTGTAAGGTATGCGTATAATTTCATCAACGATTTATAAGAAAATATTTAATGAAGTTATATTAAGTCATTTCTCATTATAATTTAACAATTACTGGAGAGAGAGCATCACAACCCTTGCTTATCGCAAACTTGTGATATGTCCACCGACAATCATCCTCGATTAGCTTGTAGGCTAAAAATTTTGTCAAACTTGGCAATTAACATATTTTATTAGGTCACAATCCCATCATCTTTAACAATTAGCACTGCAACCACCACCATTGTATTAGGTCACAATCCCATCAACTTTACAAATTTAACTCCATAGGGTTATTGAGGCCATTCAAATTATTCTTATGGCCCTCAAATGGATAAACTTTGTTGGCCCTCACATGTTTAATTTTTGGAGCTAATATAAAAGGCTTTAGATGGTCACTCTAAAATACTATAAAAATGAGATGATCCAATGTCAAATATGAGTTTCATGACTTACAAATAATCAACCTAGCTATAACATATAGAATATTGAGCTGGTGCAACATGTAATGGAGAACACTAATCAAATATTAATGAATTTGACCATCTTTGAAATTTCCGCAAAATGAAAAACAATTTTGATACACAATCAAGTTTTATAATAATTGTATTGTTCGTAAACTACTATCTTTCATAGATTGCTTTCAAAACTGCTACATATTTTGATGTATAGCTACGCGGTTGTGCAGGCAGACTTTGCGGTGGGCTCTTGAGACATTGACCATTGAAAAAAAAAATGGTTTTGAGAAAGGCACGAGAGCTTAAGAAAATGAAAATATAAACAAATGGTTCTTGTTGAGGAATGCATAAAAAGAAATAAAAAAATAATTAAGAAGTAATGAATAGGAGAGAGAGTGATGAGTTGATATCAAGAAAGGATGTCAAAGGAAGTTCATATTTGTGTTTTGTAATCAAATACTTCCAACAAAAATGCAAGTCCTATGTTTTGTAATGGTAGCAATAATTTTTTTGGATAAACATAATAACAATGACAAAAATGGCAAGCAAGCCTATTATGAGAAATATTAATTTTACCCTTAACATATAAAAAATGAAAAATAAGAATAATGATGAAAAAATATTAATAACATAATATTGGAATAAACAAAGACCCAAGATGGATAACTAAAGCTAGAATTCTCATGCTGCACTAATTCCCCAACATATGAAGAAATATACTCTGGTGAATTAACATTTTATTAGAGGAAACAAAAGGTCATCTGTTGTCGTGTTAATATAGTAAAATCCATCCCTCAAGAAATACATCCCAAATATGGCAGACGAATGTAAATCCAACTTGACATAAAGGTGATTCATGCATAAATCATACCAAGAAGAGATAAACAATAAGAACTACACCATCATTAACAATATCAACAAAAAACAATCATAGTAGATGCTTGAGAAAATTATCATCTCTAGTAGATCGTTAATGATGACAGCCTTTTTATGTGTAATGATCAACAGATCAAATGCTCGTAATTTATAACATTAATGAAAAAAAAAGTTCAATTCTCAAGCCAATTTTATAGCCTTATGGCTATACTAGGTTGGCCTGACTAGGTTAAATCAATCGAGCTAGAATAAGTCAATCAGCTGATGCTAAAACCAACTATAGTAGTTAGGATTCATTGAATCTAGCTTGGTTTTGGAATAAATGAAACTATGTTAAGGTTAAAAAAGCAAACTAATTTTGACTAGGTCGAGTTAACTAGAGATAATTATGAAGGAATATGTGGAAGAAGATTAAGATGAATGTTTGAATTCAATTTTGAATTTCAATTTGAATTTTAAATGGAAGATAATTTTAAGATTTTGGTAGAGTAGTTATGGAGGATATTGCAGAGGATATCAAACAATTATTATGGAGAATATGTGGAAGGAATTATAGAGGATATTGGGATTTCAAATGTTCAGTTTTGGTTGGAAATTGTGGCTGGTTGTCTGGAGAAAACAAGCTATAAGCTGGCTTCCAACAGCTAGAAGGTTGGTAGCTAAAACTTCTACAGAAGCACGCCAAACTGTAAGAACTAAAAGCAAAGAAAATAATGTTGTTGCAAGGAAAATAGTACAGAGAGAGAAGGCATGGGAACAACAGCAAACTGATAGAACAGTAAAAATATAAATTTCATAATATAACAAATTCAAAAGCGTTGAAAATTGGAAGCACAACAAAGTAACATGCATACAACAACAACAACAAACCTTTATCCCACTAAAAGGGGGTCGGCTACATGAATACTTTTTCTCCATTGTGTCCTATTGAGTGTCATATTTTCATTTAATTCTAATAAATTGATATCATTTTTCATACAAAACAAAAACAAAACATAAAAATTGATGCAATGGAGAAAAGAAAACATGTAATAATTGAAGAGAAAAGTGTTTTCTTGGCGGAATAACCATGCACTGATACCAATTTATATAACGCGTACATTGAAAACAAAGATTATGATAGAGCTTTAACGGCAAATACTGAGGCAAAATTAAAATATATATTATTAAAAAGCGACTAATGAATGCCTCAAAGGGAAGTGATGATGAAAAAGAGATAAAAATAAAAAAGCTCAAAGTTGGGAGAAGAGAGAGAAATTAATCCCAAAAAAGTATATCAAAGACAAATTATATCTTTATTCCATATTTCAAGTACCATCAATGACAATCTAAGGTTAAGGTCTACCATTCATGTTATTAACAAAAATTTCATTGATAATTTAACCCTAATAACATTGAAAAAAAAAACAAAGACAACTACGACAAAATATCCTTTTAGCCCTGACAAAATAAGGATGATGGCATCCGAATGACACATCAAATAATACTGATTAAATTGGCATAAACAAATACTCAAGGCTGATTAAAAAAGGGAGAAATCTCACAATGCAACATAATTCTTTTTATCTGAATAGTTTTGCCCAAAGTCAACAAGGATAAATGTAGTTTTTTATCATATTTAATCCAGAATGCTAACCTGAAATGAGATTATATACTTATTGGTGTGTTTCAAATTATTAAAAAAAAAAAACCTTTTCTTTTTGCTTTTAGTACTGCATTTTCCCTCCAACCACATCATTGTTTACAAATTCCTGTATCTGCTTAAATTTGCAGATTGTGCGGAAGCTAAAAAGCAAATAAGCTCTAAACAACTCCTTCAAACTCTTAACCATGAATTAGTTATCATCATATTTTCTTAGGACCTATGAAGCATATTTAGATTGTTTGTTCCTTCATTCTCTCCATTGCGATGAAGAAACCGACCTCAACACTTAAAAAAAATATCATAATTCATGATCAAGTCAATCCCTCCATCATTTCCGGTATTGACAGAGAGTATCATCTTTCAAACTCGGGAAGTGAACAATTTTATCTATTGGGGAATTTACATGCATACCACCCAATTCCTATGCATTTACATATCTCACCTAAATTTTATTTTTTTACATTTATAACACCCGAATCTTTCATGTCACAACAAAAAAGCAAATATTTTGACTTTAGAATGGAGAAATTCACATTTTCATTCACGGGTAGGGTGACATATATGTAAAAATTGAAGTTTAGAAGTCAGATATGTAAATACATATGAATTGAGTGGGATGTATGTAAATCTTCCTTATTTATTTCAGTTCCTTTCTTCATCTTAACAAGTAACATCCCTCCTCGTTAGCTTTCCTTACTGTCTGGCTTTTCATCATTAACCAATGTTTAGCACAGTTGTGGATGCAATCAGGCAACCACCATGGCAGGTATTAGTTAACCAACATTGCAAGAAAATCAAAATACGTACAACAAAACAAACAAGCTCTTATAACATAACAGAAACAAGCAACTAGAAACCCGTAATCCTGAAGTTTCCAGATATTCGAATACAAGCATTAAGAAAACTTCCAGTTTTCATCGGGATGAAAATAGTTTCAAAATAATAACGTATTTTAAGGATAGATTAGACGATTACTAATGCCGCAACAAACTCCGTCTGATTTCTTGAAAAAAAAAAAAACCCTCAAAATAGAAAAAAAAATAAGCTTTAGATATCCCAAAAGAAGAAAATTACCTCCTCAGCGAAAGCATTTCCCACTCTAAATAGATAATCATTTTCCGAATCTCCTTTCTCGGAACCAGATGCTCTGCACAAAAACAGCGGCTTCTGCGATGCTGGCGACTTAAATCTCTAGAAAAAACAGAGAGAACAAACGTGTTGGGACTTTAACAAAAAGCTCCGAAGGCGAACCGGAAACAATTCTAGAAAAGTGGAGAAAAGCACTACCGGAGTTCGAAAGATAGGCGAGAAGCGGGAGGCGGCGAGTCGGAGAGAAGATACATGGAGAATCAGAGAAGAAGTCCCGGCGACGCAGTCCATCGATACTTGTTGGAATCGGAAGCTTGAAACAGGTGCCGGGGCAACAAAGAAATGTAAAGAATGTATTTTGTAAACATTTAATAAAAAATTTTAGATAAATAACACACCTTTCTTAAATATTTACATATGTTACCCTTAAATTTTAATTTCTACATATATAAATTTTAATTATAGTTAAAGAATATATTTAATATTTTAAAAATTAATAATAATGACATTTTAATGTGATATAAAATAATTAAATTTTATAAATGTAAAAGTTAAAATTTAGGAATTATATATTTAATATATAAGAAATATGATGCATGGTTGTATTGTATTTATTTTAAAATAAATTTCCAAATTATAACATTTATTCTAATTAAGATTTCAATTATAATATGAGGCCTTATTTCTTGTCATATTTAATAGTTGTTATTTGATTAACTTCATGCAAAAATAGATAATGTCTGGTACTAAATTTGAAATCTTCTTGCTTTTGATTTCCTTTCGGTTGATACATGTCATGAATAATGACGTGTTAAGAGAAGTCTTACCTTATAAAAGTCCTCAAAGTTATTTATAAATTTGAGTTGACTACATGAGTGGATATACAAAAAAGAGTCAAATTACAAGTAATAAAACACATTATTCATCGGTGTAGATGATGATATCGTGGGTTTATCGGGTAAATTGATGAAAATATATGACTTGTTGGGTTACTTCATTAGAAGAGTTTTGTTGAATTGAGCCATGCAAATTGCTTGATGAGTCGTGTGAATCAAATAGTGTCTATATTCTGCTTGCTGAGACTAAATACACTTAATCAAACGCCTTTGGTAAGTCAGATATGCCGAATTGTCTTGGAAATTTGGTTGAACTCAACTACAAACTTATGCTCCATTCAAAGTATTTGGAATATTTTTAATTGAGTTACATGCCAAAGATGATCCCATTCTTTCTTAATGTTACACTTATATATACAACTCCATCCAAATCATTCAATAACAACAAATACATCAAAAACCAAACATATTTTAGACCATACATGAAAAATATTGACATTTTGTATGTATGTTAGGCTTCCTTTATTTTACTCATAATGTTGATAACCTATAAATATCCAAGGAACAAAAATTGCGAATATTGAAGTTGGGGTCCATATGATCCAAAAAAATTCAAAATCTAGCTCATAATTTAAGATAGAATATTAAAATTTTGTTTCGCAATACACCGTGGTGCTATATCATGAATTAAATCATCATTTGAGATTACTTCTTAATTATTATATAAACATGCTATTCATTTTCATATAACATATATAGTCTTAGTTGATTATGTTGTGTTTAATTTGTAGTAAAATTTTAAATTGTTATTTTTTATAGAGAAGTAGGAATTGCCTAAGGGACAATGTGTTGCTAATGGTTGTAAAATTAAAAGTAAGTGACATAAAATTTAAAGTTTTATATATATAATTCATTTGGTGTTTTTGAGATGTGTTGCATTAATTTAAAAAATAATGATATTTTAATTATAACTGTGTGCTTTGACATACTTTTATGTTTTTATATTAATTACCTTTTTGAAATTTCATTAATTGTAAAAAATAAAATTTGAGGAAATTTTTTTTTATTAATAAGATGATATTCAGTTATCGGACTAAAATCCAATATAGTCCAATCAAGAGCATAACAACTACATTTCATTAATCATAAAAAAAACATTACATTAAGTCAACATTTAGAAGTGGATTAAAATCTTTAATGCTAACTCATAATTATAGAAATCATGAGGTTGATGACTTTCTAAGGCATAAAAAGATGATTGCCACACATGCACCGCCAAGTTTCAGGATAATATTCATCAATCACATAAGTGCCTGGTGGGAATGGCACATGTATTGGTTGGCATGGAGTGCACTTTCCACACTTGAAGGTGCACTGTGGAGGAGATGATCCAGGGCGAATCAAATGATGTTGTTGGGGCATCATTGTTGGTTGTTGCCGCATGTTATTTCTCTTAAAGTCCTCCTAAAATTTATCATCCAACATTAGTAAGGCAAATATATATTAGATAAATTAAGTTTGAGATGAGTTTGCTATCTCATATATTAATGTTATTTTACATTAGAAAACTATAACTTATCATATATAGTAAATATAATGCAATAGTGATATACTTAACAGTGAAATTAAGCATTGAATGGGGGCTTAATATAATTTTTCATAAGCCATATTATAGATTATTATACGCCTAACGTAAACGAATTTTCACTTAATCTTAGGATAAATTAGATGTTTTGCCACTCTTTCTCTCCATTTCCAATCCCACTACAAATCCTTTTTTGTCATTACCTATAATTGAAGCTGGATTCTACATCTCAAGCATGTAGTATGCATTTTAAAATTTTGATGAACTGATATAAATGAGTAAAATTTTAAGAGACTCGTTCAAATCTCATCTCCCAAATAAAATAATAATAGTCCTGATGAGCTCAAATAGCTTCCAACATTTATTTTGGTTTATTAGTAAAAAACAATGAAGCAATGGCATTATAGATAATCAAACATCCATATAGTGACATATTCAAGATTAAAAGGTAAGGTTGGAAAATTTTGCCCTATATTTTATGATGGAGAAAAATATCTCATTATGTACTTAGCTACATGAGGACACATTCAATCACCCTTAATTACACCACTACTACCAAAGTTAAATTAAGATTAGTTTTATTTATGTTTTGCTCTCTTTTTTTACATTTAATGTCAAATTTATGTTCATATAGTGCCATTAGGAGCTAGGTAAAGCAATGAGATTTTTTTCTTTTATTTCCCTTTTAACATTGTGATGCAAAACCTATGCAATGAGAATTGTTTATTTATTTCCCTTTGAACATTGTGATGCAAAGCCTAATCATATAAGAAAAAGATGATGATGTGGATGATGCATAATGTTGCATTAACATAATTGAGTTTAGATCCTACTAAATCCTCCATTCTTAACATGGTTAGCTCGAACATTTGTTCCATAATCTAGTTATTGCAAGTTACTCGCTCCTCCCTCCTCTTACTCACTTCACTGCTCACTCAAATCGTAATTTATATTGTTTTTCTACTCTCTTTTCTTATATCCTTAAATTAAAATCAAAGTAAGTGGTTTAGCTATATTAAGCCAGAAAATCTCCATTCAACTTCTCTCTTTCAAAGTTTCGACCGATACTTGACCACCCATTTCTCTTATTTTTAACAAATAAAAAAATAATAAAAGTGTAATCTCAAAAATCAAAGTGTATATGAAGGTATAACAAATATCCACCTCAGCTTGTCAAGCAAGCCCAACTAGTTGATCGACTAAGTAGAGAAGTGAAGATAGATCGAAGACCAATTTTTCCCTCAAGGCAAAGATTTAAAACCTCGCTCCCTCAATTTCTTTCCTTTATCCCCATTTTGGTACATTGAAGAAGCATTAATACCAAGTAAAACAATGGATAAATTGAAGATGCCATAATGTTGAGGCCTAGGGTCTACATAGTGAGCCCTAAAGCAGTATAGTGTTTAGGGTCAATTGCCATGAACTAGATAATTTGATGGCTGACATTAGGTTCATATCCAAGATGACATTACTATTGTGCTAAAAAGCTTTTGGGATGAGTGTTGCTTTATTAAATATCATGAAAAAGTGTTAGCAGTGATGGAGTTAAGAAAAAAGGATGACCATACAAGGAGACTTATATGACAATATGTTATAAACAACAACTTGCTAATGAGTCATTAACTAAAGGGATGATGGGCGCAGTCGGGGTGACTATGGAGAAGCTATGAGGCAATTTAGGGTATGTTTGGGGCAGCTTGTGCATTTTAGGATAAGCAGTTTATCCTAAAACGCAACCCATGGGTAGACCGCGGGGGTGGACCCGCGGCCAACGTTTAGCTTAAAAAACTAAAACGCGACAGACATCGCTTTCAAAAACACGCAAATCAATCGGTTAGGTAGCGTTTTCAAAAACGCCGCCACACTTATAAGTTGGCCCTTAGAGGCAATGTTAGAGGAGCTATCATATGTCATAATAAAAATTGGTGATATAAAAGTTGACATTTAATAAATGAGGTGGTGGTTGACATAATGATGTTGTGCAGTAGAGATGTTGGATTATGGCAAACTCCCAAGCTTCAAAGAATGTAACTCATAACTAAGTAACAAATATCTAATAAAAGAGCTAACAAGTTACAATATGTTGCTAGGCAGCGTGATAACGGGTAAGTAGTTGAAGAGCAAGTAAATAATAATGGAGTTGGTTGACAGCATAGGAGATAGTTATCTACAAACTTGTATGTTGGTAGTCATACATGCAATCTCTAACTGAATTAACATATATGTGACTAAAACTATTGCTCCTTATGCCTTAAAATCACTCTTTCATGCAATGTCTCGTATGCCTTGAAAACCATTTCATGTAAGAGCTTTTTACATCTTCCATCACTCTCTCTAAAACATAAATATTGTTATGTATCATACATTAAGAGTCCAATTAGCTTTTCCATTATAGAAAGAAATGCAAGTCACATGAAAGTCAAATTAATCACATAAACCGTTGAATCTTGTACCACTTGATAGGGATTGGACCAAATTGGGCCTAGGTTGGGCTAGAAATACAAGTCATTAAAGTTCTTAAGCCCAAAACTAAGATTCAATTATTGAATATTTAAAAAAAAAAATTTAAATATCATATGTGAAATTAAATTCAAAGTTTTACACACACCCATTTAGTAGAAAATTTAAAAGGGCTTTACAGCATAGCACCCAAAACTTTAATATTTACCTATCTCACACTTAAATTTTTATAATTACAAATATCATATGTAAATATCACTCATTACCCCCTTTTAATAATCAAATCCATTTTTTCATTCATAGGTAAAGTGTTATGAGTGTAAAAATGAAAGCTTAGTGTGAGATAAGTAAATTCATAACAATTGGTTGTATGTATGTAATTTTCCCAAATTGAAAAAGCAATTAGGACAAGCCCTGCCCGAGTCCACTTCAATCGGCCAAAACCTGAGTAAACCGGACCTGCACCATGCTCGGTTCGCCCAATGTCCAGGTGTAGACTTAGTATAGATAGTAATTTTTAATAAGTATAAAATAATCCAATATAAATTCGAAAAGTTCAACTAATAATCTCCTTGAACATTTAAACCCTCACATAGCGACTGTGCATCAGCACGATGATCCGGATAGACTGTCGTGTGATTCATGGTGGCGTAGCCGCATCCGGACCATGTGTGAATGGTCGGGTTGCACGGTCACCCATACGTAATAATTTTTACTATCTGCTTTATGTCTGCGCAAGTAATCAAATCCTCCCACTGTTTTCTAAAATGCACCCTTTCTCCAAAGATAGCCTAAGTTTATCATAATTCTATTCATTAATCCAAACATAATCCAAATTAGCAAACTAATGATACAACCAAACCTCACTTTTTCATATCCATCCATTCTTCTCATCCTTCTGAAATCTACAGAGGACAAAAGGCTAATCAGAATTTCATCAGACTAATTAACAACTCATTAAGAAATCTTATTTTATTTCTAATCATCAGCAGAAGAAACAGGAAGGTCAAAATAGCATACTTTCATACTCTCTTCCCCTTCTGCTGCATGATTTGAAAAACAGAACGCACACAAAGAAAAAAGCGACATAAAGAAGAAGAGTTTTCAGTGCTTCTCCTCTCCCTGACTTCTCTTTCTGCACCTCCATTAACCAGCACAGCAAAGACCTCGAAAGACAGAAGAAGAAGAAGATGAAGGAGAAGAGAAGGAGTATGACAACTGAGAATTTCTATGACTTCTTGAATAATGATAGCAGTAAAGCTCATTGTAGCATTCAATACTGATTTCTATATTTTAGAAACTGACGTTCTTTATATCTCTTTCAGTACTGTCTGTCTGTGACAGTATATATCTCAATTTGAATTTAGCTGTACTGTGCTGAAGGATTTATATTAGGAAAAAATGAAATTTATTGGTGAGGTCAATGCTGAAAAAGCTTTCCTTGCTTCGGATTTGGGTGTGTTGGAGAACTGATGGATTCACCTTTTAGTTTTTCTATAGAAAGGAGTGGAGAACACACCAGGAGGGAGGCGATTGAGCTTTCTGTTTTGAGTTATGGCGTGCAGGTTGTGATTGCTGAGCTCAGTGCTTAACAGTTATAGAATAATAAGAAAAGATTTTGGTTTTTTCTTTTGTAGAAATTTGATAGGAAATGAATATGTGTAGGGTAGCTTAGTTTCTGGATGTGAACTTGCATTGAAATTTTAGAGTTGGTTTGGAATCATTCTTATTATTATTTTAGAAAAAACATGTTGTTTAATATTTTTTAGATTATTTTTTACTTTTTGTAAGTAAATCAAATTACTTTTTGACGCTTGCAAGAAAGTTAACAGTGGTAGAGTAATGAAATATTGTCTTAGCGCTCTACTAAAACTCATCACACACTTAGATAATTAGATCGTAGAAGGAGTCATCTTGACGTTCTATGTGGAAAACTCTAGAAAGAGAAAAAAAATCAAATGGTTGAGACCAGTTTAAATAATCAATTATGAATGTTAAGTATACAGGTCCACTTTCTCGTGAATTAGGAAAGATATAGTAACAAAGATGATTATTGTGAATGTACAATAGTAGTTCGTTGATAATAGTCATAGTCTAGTTGTAAATGAATGTTGTTCTCGATGATAGTTGCAGGTTGCATGGGCTATAATCGATTATTATGGAGGCAATAGTCTACCTTGAACGTTATAGACGGTAGTCGTATCGCCGGCTTGTTATATAAGATGTTGAAAATTGTGGTAGTAGTTGGTCATGTGAGTCACAATTTGTTGAGTCGGGAGTGTTAGTAGTAGAAAGCTGCAGGAGCTATGAGCTACGTAGGCCTTAGTTTGACACATAGGTTGCAGTGGTGAACTGTGATGATGTTCGTAGGCTGCAGAGACTGAAGCCGGGAGTTACATGAGTTATAAGCCACATATGTCGTAGTTGGTCATGTAAGCCGTAGTGACGAGCTATAATATCGTTCGTAGACCACAGGGGTCGAAGTCGAGAGTTGCACTAGGTATAAGCCACGTAGGCCATAGTGGTGAGCTGTGATGACCTTCATAGTCCACAGAGGCCAGAGTCGACAGATACACGACCTATGAGCCACGTAGGTCATAGTTGGTCACATATGCTCTAATGGTGAGCTTGATGGCGTACGTCGGTTGCAAAGGTTGGGGTCGAGAGGCGGGAGTCAGGAGATGCATAAGTTGTAAGCCACAGAGTTTGTAGTTGGTCACATAAGTCATAATGGTGAGTTGTGATGATGTTCGTAGGTCATAAATGCCGAAGTTGGAAAAGACACAAGTTGTAGAATATGTAGGCACAATGGTGGCAGTGATGATGTATGTTGGCTGTAGGAGCCAAAGTCGGTAGCTGCACGAAGGGAGCTTTAGGAGTCTAGAGAGACTCATCGTATTCGGGGTGCATTGTTACACTGTCATCTGAATGTATCGTTGCATCATATGTGAAGTGTGTTGTTATATCGCCATTGGGTGTTTGTCGTTGTACCAAAATTCGGGTACGTTATTATGTCATCTTTTGGAGGCGTTGTCACACTGTATGTGAGTGCATTGTTACACCATCATTAGGGGTATGTCGTTGCACCATATTTGGGGTGTATTGGTACATGGTCATAGGGGTGCGTTGTGCACCATATTCTAGATAAGTTGTTGCACCATTTTTGGAGGTGTCTTTGCACCGTATGTGGGGCGCATTGTTACACCATCATCAGGGCCTGACAATGCACTATATTTTTGGTGTGTTATTATAAGATGTATTGGACGCGACATATTACTATGTCAGGTGTTTCTCTATTCTGCAACATACACTGGGATTCTGCAATATACGTTGGGACTCTACAAGAAACTTCGCTGCAAGGAATAGGTGGCGGTCGATGGTGCTCGACAGTAGTCAGTAGGTGGTGGTCGGCTGTTGGCATCAATTTTTTTTTGGATATCATAGGTGTAGGTTGTCCACCTGTGATCGACAAAAATTAGTTATCGCGCCATGCACAAATTTGGCTCAAATTGACCTGAGCACCTGCGAGCTTGTTCATATGGCCCCAAACGACGAAATGGACAACACGAGTGAGTTGGGAACTTCGATTTCACTTGGAAAAGACACTCGTTGCACCACTATTTCGCGTACGGGCTTAAAATATGCATATTATCGTTTTTTTTTTTACACGATAGTCGAAAAGTAGTCTGAACCAACCCGGACGACTAAACGGACCACACCGGTGCGTCCAGAACATCAATTTTACCTAAGAGACATTCATTTTATCGTGATGACGTGTGCAGCGAAAATGCACGGAGAGAGGTTAATTGAATAATAATTATTATTATTATATTATAATATTATATATATAAATATATATAATATTATCATGATGAGGTGAAGATACCCTCATGCACAATCTAGAAGGTTAGTCTCATTTTTTTTATGTAATGACATGTTTAATTATGCATGACTATATCTGATTTTTCTAACCCAATTCAATTTCTCGAGTTCCCTTGCTATACTTTTATTTGAAAATAAGTGTCTTTTGGATTGAAATATAAAAACTATGTAAGTTCAAGCATAATTTTATTAATTATTCTTTCATGATGTACTAGTTAAATATAATTTAAAAAAAAGAGGAAGAAACGGCAAAAAAAAAAAAATGGCAGAGAAGCAACGCCTCTTCCCAAAAGATCGCGCCTCTTTACCTCTCCAAAGCTCCCATTCGCGACACTCTCAAGGAGGATTCGCGAATCTTGCTCTTCCGCTCCCCGATCCTTTTCCTCTCTCGCGAAATTTCGCACCTCCATATACGCGACAGAGAGGACCGCTCGGCCCTCTCTTCCGCCGATCTCCCTCTCCCGGCTCTGAATCGCAGCAGAGGTCTCGCTCCTCTCCTCCGGCCCTTCTTCTTCTTCTTCTTCTTCTTCTTCTTTCTCTTCTTCTTCTTCTATTTTTTTTTTCTTCTCCTATTTCTTCTTCTCCTTCTTCTCTTCTTCTTCTTCTTCCACTTCTTCTTATCCTATTTCATTTTCTTCTTCTTCTTCTGTTTTATTTTATTTTATTTTATTTATTTATTTATTTATTTTTTTTTCTTTTTTTCTTTCTTCTTATTCTCTTTCTTCCATTTCTTCTCGGTCAAATCCCGCCAACCTCGACGATCTTCCTTCATCCCTCCG